GGGGGGGGGGGAGTGAGGGGAAGATCACTTTGGGACTTTGTTACAAGTCTTTCAGTAACAAACTAAGTGCTTGTATCACTTTAATTCAAAATAATTTTTAAAACAAATACAAAAAATGTACAAGCTGCTCCTTGGGGAATGGCACCTGTAACAGAATGGGGGCTGCAACTGGGAGGGTCCAGACCCAGGCTGGAGACCCTGGGCATTCACAACTCATCTACTTTCCAAAACTAAAGGGACAAAACTGTACCTGTCAGAACACCTCCTGGATCCTGCAAAGGGCAAACACTACTATAGGCTGTAAGCTGACTCTCCAAAAACAAAGTGCAGAGGCAGTAAACAGGAAAGGCTGAATGGGACAGAGAAGGTTCTGAGAAAGATCAACAGAAGCAGCAAGGGACAAAGTCCTTCCAAAGTCCCTCCCACATCTCTCCACCTGGCTGAGCAGGATGCTCGGCTGCTGAGGGGCCAAGCCCATGCCCCCTGACAATTCTTCTAGCCTTCCTTCCACCATGCTAGCCCACACAGATCCATCCATGCGGCACAACCGAGACCTCCATCTGGCAGCTCCAGAAAGCAGAAAGCTACATCTGGCACAACAAAAACCAGGAACACACACCAACGTGGAGTAAGGAAGCCTAGTCAACTCTGCGGGGAGTTGGGTTTACACAAGCCATTCTTACCAGGCCCCTAGCACCCAGCACATTGCCCAGCCACTACACAGTTGTTCAACAACGTTTGTTGACCAAGGGGCATGTAAACTTGCCTCTCTTCCATAAGGGCAGAGGACTCTGTGCAAACCTGAAACCTAAAGCCTCCATCCCACACTGATCAGACTCTGCCTGGGGCAGCACAGACAAAAGCAGCAGCACCTTACAGAAAAAAGGCAGCACCAACGCATGTACGAGTGTAAAATAGTCCTTCTATGCCTGTGCCTTGCAGGAACCCTGGGAACAACTTCTCCCCAAGGCTGAGTCTATCCCTTACTAGCAGAATCCCCTCTTTATCTGAGTGACACTGGCTTCTCAGTTTCTGTATATTTAATAGACTATCTATTTAATAGGGTATTTATTCACGAGAGTCATATTTTAGGAAGCAAAGGAAGAGAAAAATTGTCAACAAGTTCTTTTCACACGTGTGTTAATGAAGTGAGTAAAAATAGCACTAATAATTAAAACTTTTTGAAAATCCCATGTTTTCACTCTAAGAAGTATCTGAAAAATTATTACGTAATCCGATGCCCCCAAACCAATTTAGTGTCCTTGTCTAGGGGTTTGAAGACTGCTGGCCTCTCTCACTGTTCCTCAGACTGGCTAACTTTTCCTTCAGACTTTATGTAAACTTCTGCCACCCATCCCTGTCAAACTGATTGATCCAGCTTTGCATTTTCTCCCACTTCGAGTCTCTAATTATTCCTGTGGTCTAAATTCTGCCTGCCAAGGAGAGAATCATGTTATTAGCTTTAGTCATCCATATAAAACTAGAACTGGAACTAGCAGAGACTCCAGAGTGATGACAGCAGGAAGGCATAGGACGGGACGGTAAGAGAGGCATTGCTGTGGGCTAGACCTCCAGCAGAACTGACTCCGGAGGGAGTCACAAACCAACCCTGTGAACGTGTTCCTCTGAGTAAAAGGAATGCCCAGCACCAAGATACAATACCTCTCTAATAAGAGTCTTCCGGAAACAGTCAAAGGTCCCAGAATACATGGGAGGCTGTCCAGCCAAACTTGCGGGCTGCGTCTGCAGTCGGACCTGAAATCAGAAGTTAAAATACAGTCATCTGCCGGAATCAGAACTGCCTCACTTAATTCGTTGTATTCAGACGTCTCTCTCCTACAGTTTATTCAAACCCTACACTCACAACTCCTAAGTAGCATGCTTTTAGAGAGTGACAGTTCCTCCGCTTTCCCCGGCCACTTACTTTCACCATTTATTTCTTACCCCACAATGACCCAATGGGACAGGTATTTCTGGTTTACAGGCGAGATGAGGAGACTGGGTTTAGTGAGTTCCAGTGACATGCCAGTAACGAGCTGATGCAAAGCTTAGCTCTAGCCACCACCAACTCCAGCATGCAGCGGCATGCTGGTAGTTAGATCAGGTGCTCAGCAAGGGCGTCCTGGAGCGACGTGGATGCAACCTCACTCTTCTTGGTCTTCATTCTTCTTGAGCTTTTGGTGCATCCGATGCTTAAACTGCCTCTCTCTGTAAACCTCCCTTCTTAGCACTTCCTCCTCCGGCTCCTTTTCTACTCAGGCATTCCCCAAGGCTTGGCACCCTATGCATAGAGCCCGCTATTCCTTTCCGAAAACTCAGGCTCCAGGGCTTCAGCTGCTGCTCAGTGATGACTGGGCCAGCTCCAGGCTTCTCTCCCACCTTTAGGGTTGCATTTCCAATTGCCTGGAGAAGCTCTCCCTACTCAACTCACCTCCAGAATCTCACCCTCCTGATGAATGTCCCATTTGTGCCAGAGCCATCTCTCAGTAACCCTTTTCTCAGGATCTGAAACGCTAGCATCACCTCTGACTACTTCCTGTTGCTCTTCTTGCCTTTACCACATGAGTACCAAGTCTGTGCGAGGAGACCTTCAAGATGCTTCCAGAATCCTAATTCCCCCCCACCCCTCTGTCTGAGTCTTCTCCCAGGCCAGGTCCTCATCCATCCTTACCCAGTGTATTGCTTTTCAATTATGTCCACTGTCTTTGACACTCTTTCCCTTCAAAAGGTAAATCCTTTCCCCTCCCCTTAAATGTGGGCCAGACTCAGTGATTCACATCTATCAAATAGAATGTGGTGGTACTGATGCTATGTGACCTAAGTGTACATCTATGGGTGAACGGATCAGTAAGATGTGGTATAGCCCGGCCGGCATGGCTCAGTGGTTGAGCGTCAGCCTATAAACCAGAAGGTCACAGTTTGATTCCAGGTCAGGGCACATGTCTGGGTTGCACGGCAGTGGGGGGGAGGGGGGAATTGATCCCCAGGAGACAGCCGATCAATGACTCTCTCATCATTGATATATCTCTCTCTCCCTCTCCCTTCCTCTCTCTGAAATCAATAAAGATACATTTAAAGAAAAAAAATTTTGCCATTTGAAAAACATGAGTGGATCTTAAGAGTATAATGCTAATTGAAGCAAGTCAGAAATAGAGAGAAAAGTACCATATGATTTCACTCATATGTGTAATCTAAATAGGTACAGAGAACTCATAGATACAGAGAACAGACTGGTGGTTGCAAGAGGTAAAGAGGGCTGGGGAGTGGGCAAAAGGTGTAAAGAGAGTCAATTGCATGGTGATGGATAGTAACTAGACTTTTGGGGGTGATCACTTTGTAGCGTATACAGATGTTAGAACATGATGTTATATTCCTGAATTTTTTTTTTTTTAATATATCTTTATTGATTTCAGAGAGAGGAAAGGAGAGGGAGAGAGAGAGACAGAAACATCAATGATGAGTCATTGATCAGCTGTAGCCCACAACCCGGGCATGTGCCCTGACCGGGAATCGAGCCCTGATCGCCTGGATCCTAGGTTGACGCTTAACCGCTGAGCCACGCCTGGCCGGGCTTTTTTTTTTTTTTTAAGTAGGAAGAGAGACCAGACAATTTCTTTCTCTTGAATGTAAGAAATACCAATTGGTTCCCTCCTGCACGCACCCCCGCTGGGGATCAAACCTGCAACCCAGGCATGCGCCCTGACCAGGAATCAAACCTGTGACTCTCCAACCAACTGAGCAACGCCCGCCAGGATTGAATAAACATTTGAGTTCATGTTTCACAGTGCCCTAACCAGACAGGTCACTTTAATCCTGGTTTTGCCGTAGAATGACCCCAGCTCCTCTCCCAGGTGAAAGGCAGCAAAGAAGCTTGCTGTCCAAACCTGCCAAGAGGGTATCCCCAAAGCTATTTCCTGTGTGCGAATCCAGATCTGAATTCCAATAAGCCCCCTACACAGGCTTCCCACTCTATGAGACTCATATCTGCTCCCCACAGGGCACCCTGGCCATGACCTGTCGATTTCCTCCAAGTGTGTGTCCAGAAATAAGGTTGGAAATTCGGATGAAACCTTGAATGCTAAGTCACAGGGCATGAACTTTGGCCTCCATTCAGGCCTGACTGGCAGTGCTGCCGAGGAGAGAGTCGAGGCAGGAACGAGGTGAGGAAGACCAGGGAAAAGCCCCGATGAGTCTCCTCCTTCCCACAGCCTCAGTTTGACCATGGCTTCCTCACCCGGCCGGGCTCTGGGCAGTTGGTCACTGTCTTCTTTGGCAGGGCTCAGTCACTGAGGATATAATCGCTTCCCACAGGAGGGCACTCAGGCTAAAATGGGTGCCAGGCTGCAGATGGCCAAGCCCTCTCGGGAGGGGGACAGGTGGAAGGAGATGGCCACGGGGCGCTCTGCCCCAGAGCAACGCGTCTAAAGACACCGCTACAGTAACTGTGCCTTCTTTAGCTCTCTTCCCGGGGCGAGCTTTACGAGCGACCTGCATCAGTGTTGCTGACAATGTAGCGTTTGCTGAAATCAGAGCTCTGGGGAGGCGCTTTTTCTTTCCCATCCCCAAAGTGGCACAAGGTCAGGAGAGGCTGCGGGGCAGCCCCTGGCGGCCGGTGAGACTGCTCGGTCTGCGCGGTCCAGTTGCGGCGCGAAGAACTGCTTCCCCAAACCCCCGAAGGGGCGAAAGAGACATTCCCTAGACTTCTCACGGGAGCCCCCAGGGGCCCCCTTTCTGTCCGGGACCGCGCCTCCTGGGAGACCCTGCTTTTCGCGCCCCGCCCGGGCCTCCTCCCTCCAACCCGCGCCCCAACCTCCCCGCACCTTAACCGTGTCCAGCGGGTGCCCCACGAACACCAGGCACATGCCTCCAAAGCCGCCGGCCAGCAGATTCTTCAGCGGGCTGATGGGTTTCGCCTGGTCCGTCATGGTCCGTCTGTCTGTCAGTGTCAGTACGTTCCCTGCCTCCTGGCTGCACAGCCCCAGCAGCAGCACCGACGCGGCCGACCTTTCACCCACTTCTGGGTGGGCGGGGCGAGAGCCTGAGGCAGGTCGGGAGGAGGTTCTAGACTGCCCGGCCCGGCTTCCGCCGGGAGGCTGCTTCCGGCCGCGGCCCCGCCCCGTGGGCGTGGCCTCGGGGAGGTGGGCTGGGCTGGGCGCCGCATGGGCGGTGTTTCGGGGTGCGGGCGCGCCGGCCGACTTCTCCCGGAAGTCTTTCCGGACTGATTTGTTTCCTCTCCCCGGCTCCTAGTCCTCCGCTCGCTCAGCAGAAGTCGCTTGCGCGGTGCCGCGTGCCAGGCGCCCCGCCCGGCTCTGGGGGCACAGCTGGTAGCCACACATGAGTCCCTGTGCTTGTGGAGCTTACAGACCCGTAACAAAGATAAATAAGGGAAAGATGCATAGTATCAAGTGGCGATAATTTCTATGCAATGGAGAAAAATAAACCTGGAAAGAGGATTAGAGGTGTGAGGGGAGCAGGTTTGATTTACAGTTTTAATTAGGTGAGTAAGGGAAGGTTTCACTGAGGAGGTGACTGGATTCAAGACCTGAGAAGGTGAGGGAGTGAAGCGGGACCTATCCATAGGTATGGAGTGGAGGCTGAGCGACATTCCAAGCAGGAAAATAAAATGCAAAAGCCGACATGGTCTGTGCCTGTTCTGTTAGAAACCACAGGGAGGCCTTTGTGGCTAGAGCAGAGGGAGGGAGAGCGACAGGTAGCAGCTGATGAAGACGTGGAGGTGATGGTGGCATACAAAGCAGACTGTCGTCAGGCGAGGACATCAGCTTTCCTCTGAAGGAGATGGGAACCATTCTGGGGTTTTGAGCAAGGGAGTGATGGTCTGACTTATGAGTTAACGGGAGCCCTCTGACTGCTGGGTGAGAGTAGACTGTAGGGAGCAAGGAGGAGGCAGGAAGCCTTGAGAAGGCTCATGGTCAGAAATGCTGGCTTGGATCAGGGCATCGCAGAGGGAAAGCTGTGAACAATAGTCATACCCCGACTCTGTAGCAGATACCTCAATGCCAAGGTGACCTGATAGCAGTCCTCCTAGGTAGGTACAGCCAGGCTGGAGGGAAGCCTGGAATGGGGAAGAAGGACCATGTATGCGGGGGGTGGAAAGATGAGTAACAGGATCAGGAAGTGACTGGGCCCGACTGGGCCAGAAGGTCCGTAGGACAGTGGAGGGCAAGGAGGCTGGGGCAAGGCACAAAAGCCTGTCTACTCTGTATTACAGGCATTTTCTAGAAAATGATGGGAAACCATGGGCGAATTTTTTAAGCACACTAGTGACATGATCAGAGGTGTTTTAGAAAATGTTTTGATTGTGTTGTAGTTAGACAGACATGAGCAGAGCAAGGGAAATGGGCCAGGTACAGGTAACCAGGGTAGAAAGCCCCAGGTGCCTAGCAAAGGACAATTGTAGGGTGGGTCCTCACCCCCAGGGTGGCCTTTTCTCCCCTAGCATATCACTGGTAATGTGGTTTGGACCCCCTGACCTTTCCTGTCCAGATAACATCTAGGCCTTAATTGTACTTCAGCTCCAGGTCCAGAAAAGTAGCAAAACCAGACCAGTGACACCATGGCTGACCTTAGAACCAGCTGCATTGGATAATGTGCCCTTGTGCCAATCAATCGGTGGAGACCCCACCCTGAAAGGACAGAGTTGGAAAGCTGCTGCATATCTTCCCTAGGACTTCCCCTAAGAGCTCCATACTTAAAACCCTTCAGACCGAGGACCCAGTGTGCTCTTCCTCCCCAGGAGCACACCTGAGCCTTTCCCTCTCCTCTCCCCCTACCCCCGCCCCAGGCACATTAATATTAGCTTCCCCACTTCCAAGTTCCTAGGGCCCTTCCTTTGCCTCTATAACTTGTTTCCTACCCATTTCTCCTATGAATTACTTCTTCCATCTCTGTGATTTTATAAAATATTCTCTTATAGTTTGAGTCTTGGCTCTGAATTCTTTTCTAGCCAGAACTCAAATACCGAGGCTGCTGAACTCAGGTCCAGTGTGACCCCATGGGTCACACACCTGGTGCTGTTTCCGCTGCCTACAACAGATGGATAAATTTGGGGAGAAACTGGAAGCAGGGAAACCAGTTAAGAGAGAATTATAGCAGCCCAGGCAAGAGGCAGTGAAGGCATGAACAGAGGCAGAAGTCATAGAAGGATGGGAAAGAAGATAGAATTGAGGCATTACCAGAAATCCTTCAGCAGCTCTAGGTTTCAGGCACACTGCAATTGCAGTACCCATGGCACATCTGGGGATATGCCTGGTTAGTGTCACATACACAGCTTGGGAACAAGGAAAGAGGTGAAGGCCAGAGACAAAAGCCAGGAAGGCTTCCACATAAAGATGTATATGTAACCTTCCTGGAAGACTACACCACAGGAGAGGGGCCAGCATTAAAGAAGTCCCCAAGCAGAGGTTGCTATTAGAGTTTGGAGATAAATGAAGATAAAATGGTGCCTTTGAGTCCAAGAGATGAAATGGTCAAATGCTGGGTCAAGCTAAGGAATTTTAAGTGCTCATTAGGTTTAACTAGTTGTCACTAATGACATTTACAAGAAGCTTGCCAGGAGTGTTGACAAGTGATGGATCTAATGCTGAGCAGGCATTAAGAAGGCAAAGGCCCTGAGTCAGTTATTGGTTCAAGGAGCTTGGTAGGAAGGGAAATGAACAAAGAATTAAAAGAGAATTTAGATTTTAGTGTTTTTTGTTTTTTTTTCTCTCACTGCCTTTGATCACTTTTTTATTCAAAATTAGCTGTCCAAAGTGATTTGACTTTTATGGATTTTTTTTTTTTTTTTTTTTGTGTTTTTTTAAGATGGGTCTGAGGCTGAGGGAAACATCAAGAAGGGAGCACAGCTGATAAGACAAGGTCCCTGAGCCCTGGCTGGTGTGGCTCAATTGGTTGAACACCATCCCATGCACCAAAGTTGCTGGTTTGATTCCTGGTCAGGGCACATGCCCAGGTTGTAGGCTTGATCCCCAGTAGGGGGTATGCAGGAGGCAGCTAATCGATATTGATCTCTCACGTCAATTTTCTCTCTCTCCCTTCCTCTAAAATCAATAAAAATGTATTTTAAAAAAAGACAAGGTCCCTGAGGTGGTGGGGTGGTATCTGGTGTGTGTGGCCTCACCTGGCAAGCTGTTTCTAAATGCCTTGGTATCTCCGGGGCTTTGACTCTGAATCTCTGGAATTAAGGCCTGGCACAGGAGTTCTTTAAAGCTCTGTGACTGAGTTTGCGAAGCACCCATTGTTAAGAAATTCCAAGATAGAAGGAAAAATGTTAAAGCTAGGCAAGGAGACAGCTCACAAGTTGTAAAGAAAGGTTGCATAAGACTGAAACACACTAGATGTTTACTAAGATGACTGTTGTTAAATGAATAAAGTTCCTGTCCTCAAAAGACTTCAGTAGGGCTGAGGAGAAGAATCTCAGACATTTGAAGAAGGGGCTGTTAGGAGAGAGCTCAGGTTTAAAGCAGGTTATCAGCTCCCAAGGAAGCCTGAGGTTTCCTTCTGACTTCCTACTCCAGTGAACTGTCATCTTTGCTTCCCACAGATAATGGGGAATTTCCACCATGAGAGCACAGGACTGTTAGTGTCCAGGCCACATGTTTACTGAGGACATTCAATCTGCGTAACTCTGTGCTCATCGTTGGATTGACCTCAGGAGTTTTATTGGGCAGAAGGTCCAAAAGTCTCTAAAATCAACAAAAAATAAAATTGTTTTGTCTGGGACATGAGTGCCAATATGACACCCAAGTGGAGCTGTTGAATGGATGATTGAATATATTGAGTGTGGAGTTCAGGGAAGTGGGTAGGGCCAGAAATAAAAACCTGGAAATCATCAGTGTTTTAGAGATACTTGGGCAAAGAGATTGGATAAGATCACTAGGAATGTGCATAGATGGAGTTAAGGCTAAAGATGGAGCCCACTGACTCTCCTGAGCCCACTTTTTTAAAGCCTGTGTAAATGTATGTATATAGCTATAAACATAAGTATGTATGTATGTATCTGAAAGGGTTCTGGAAAAATGTGCACCAAACTCTGGACATGGCAGCAACCAACCTTGGATAGGGTAAAGGGAGCTAACAGGAATATTCACACGTCGCTATCAGTACTTTTGCATCCATTTTTTACAACTTTAATGTATCAATATATGTTATAAATTAAAATCAATAAAGGCAAAGACAAAAAATATAAGATATATGTATTGCCCTAGCCGGTTTTGCTCAGTGGTTAGAATGTCAGCCCGCAGACTGAAGGGTCCCGGTTTCGATTCCAGCCAAGGGCATGTACCTTGGTTGCAGGCTCCTCTCCCCCTTGGGGCAAGTTCAGGAGGCAAACAATTGATGTGTCTCTCTTACATCCATGTTTCTTTTTTCTCTCTCTCTCTCTCTCTCCCCCCCCTTCCACTCTCTCTAAAAAGCAATGGAAAAATATCCTCAGGTGAGGATTAAAAAATATATTTAACATGCTACGTGACAGATTATATTTTACAAAGATGACCACACCAATATATATTCCATTTCACATGCTTTTCTTATCATGCGATAACATGTTGGTATTACTTCATCAAGCGTGGGGTTTCATTTCCTCCACTTGAACCTGAGGGGACCTTTGTAATTGCTTGGACTAATAAAATATGAGAGAAGTAATGCTATGTGACTTCAAAGGCTAGATCATAAAAGGAGATACAGCTTCCACCTGCCCTCTCTCTCTTAAGATACTTTTCCTTGGAACCCATCCACCATGTTTCCAGGAAAACCAGGTCACATGGAGAGGGTGTGTGTGTGTGTGTGTTTGCGTGTGTTCTGGCTGAGAGACACCATCAACCATCAGATATGTCTGAGTAAATAACTTCCAATAATTTCAGCTTCCAACCTTTTAATCTTCTGAGGCCTCAGACATCAAGAAGCTGATAAACCATTCCTGCTAATAAACCATTCCCACTGTGGCCTGTCCAGATTCCTATCCCACAAAAACCATGAGACTTTATATTTTTTACATGCATGTGTTTTGAAAATGGAGTATCACTGTTTCACATTCTATCACTTAAGCGTATATCACAAATACCTTTCCTTGTCAATAGATGCCTTTATACAGCATCTATTATTAAATAAACAAATAAAGGGATGTGTTTTCTCAAAACAAATGTAGTAAGTACACTGGGTTATAGCAACTTTTATGCTGCTAATATACAAAATTCATAGCCCTACAATAAACATAAACTCATTACTATTAATTACTTCAAATTAATATGGGGCTTTCTAGTACGTATTGCACCTGATTTAAGTAGTGCTGAGTTAAAATGGAAGCTGAAACTCATGTATAAGAAATACACGAGTACATACAAATAAGAAATAAGAGCCCATTACAGATAGATATCTCGAGTATCAGTACACATACAACTCGTGTATGGGTTGAAATGGTTTATCTACGGACTTGCACAGCCCAGGGCAATCCCTAAACATCACCGGCTTCACACTGGCGTTTCCATTCGTGCAGCAGCAACTTGAGTGAGCCTCCGTGGCTCTATCTAGCCATAACAGACGGTAGTGCACGTAATAATTGGCACTTCCTATATTGTTTGGGGGGGAAAAAAGTGTAGAAAGGCAGTTAACGTTGTCTTGTACGGTAAATGGGAAGCGGAAGAACCGGACGGCGAATCAGGGCGCGGAGAGGTCCTGCGGCGCAGGGGCCACCAAGCTACGGCCTGAAAGCCTAGGCGTGCTGCGGCCCCGTGATGCGGGAAATAACAATCCTTTACCCACTCCAAGGATGTCGTGATGTTATCACCGTGCCCAACGCCCGAGTGCAAATAGTGAAGTGAGGAGTCCATCAAAAAACGCTGGTTAAAAATATCCCGGCGGGCGGCCCAGTAGCCGAAAGCAGGAAGCGAAGCCGCGACCACGCTCCAGGAAGCCGCACCCTCTCCTTTGCGGCCTCCCGCATCCCTCGGAGCCGGCCGTGCCCGGGTCACACTCTGGGACCGAGCGAGGAGCTACCACCGAGCGTTGGGCGAAGGGCAACATTACCCAGCGCCTGCCGCGACCCGAGCGACCGCTGGACGACCCAGGGCCGGAAGTGACGCAAACGCGCCGAGCACTTCCGGAGTTGCGGGGACCGCTCTGCCGGAGGAAGCAGCGCGGGCCTTGACCGGCGTCGGCCCGCCGCCTCCGCCGCCTCCTCCTCCGCCGCGCTTGGGTCACATCCCTCTGGCCCGGCACGACCCGGCCTGGCCCGCCCGGGCTCAGCGGCCGTGGGGCCGCAGCTCCCGGTAAGTGTGAAGAGCGACTTGCGGCCTTGTTTACCCGGCGGGCCGGGGAAGGGGGTGGGCTCTCTGCGCGCCTCCCTAGCTCGGCCGGGGCTCCGCCTTCGTCACCGCCCGCGAGGCCCCAGCGCCCCCGGCAGCCGGTACTTGGTCTTAGCTCCCGCCGCCGTTCGCGGAGGGGCGGCTGAAGAATTCGGCCGTGGCGGACGATTGGCGTCTCGGTTTTTCCTCTTCACGAACGCCGCCTCAGCTCGCTGAGAGGTCAAAGCCAGCGCCACTGACCGACAGGCGCCGGCGCCTGGGCCCTCCCCAACGGGCGCGCCGGGAAACGCGTCGCCTCCGGGGCTCCCCACTCGAGTCATCGCTGGGAGCCCTCGCAGCGCCGCCCGCGCGGTTAGTTAACGTCCGTCTGTGAAGGTGTGAAGGGTCCCCCAACGCGTGGACTCCGTGTCCTCGCGGATTTCCTGGCTCCTTGGAAGGGACATGCGGCCCAGGGGCTGAGTCGCTGCGTCGCCGCCTCGCCGGACGCCGCTGTGCTTCCCATAGGAGAGTCAGCAGTGTTCTCGGACGACTTCACCTCAGTTCTGATTGTCGCTCTGTCCCATAGAACTTTCTGTCACAATGGACATATTCTATACCTTTGCTGTTACGTGGGATAGCCTCTAGCCACATGTGGCCATTAAGCATTTGACTTGTGGCTAGGGCGACTGAAACACCAAATTTAAAATTGTTTTAAGTTAAAACTTAACCGTGTGTGGCTAGCGGCTACCGTATTTGACGGTACAGGGTTTTGAAACTAAGTTGGTACATAATTTTGTGCCAAGTAGTTTTCTTCGGAGATGTAGACTTAGTAGATGACCATTCACGGCTAAATGTTGTATCTGGAATAAATGTCCGACTCACCAAAAAGTCTCTATTCTTGTCAACTTTAAACTGAAAAGTCTTCAGTTTGGATCCTTTAGCCCAGGGTGGGTGTCAGTCAGGTCTTTGGCTCGGCGGAAAATAATTTATTTTACTCCTTTTTTGTCTGGGATGTAGGGATAATATTTAACATCTAAGAAAAATCAAAGTGTTATCAAGTCTGTTAATAAGGCAGTGTCATACTGGCCCCTTCGAGCAATGACAGCACTCTTTCAAGTAGAACAGGGATACTTAATTTTGAAAAGATTAAAATTGCCCTGGCTGGTGTGGCTCGGTTGGTTGGAGTGTCATCCCATACTCTGAAAGGGTCACAGGTTCAATTCCTGGTCACGGCACATGCCCAGGTTGTGGTCCCCTGTCAGGGTGCTCACGGGACACAACCGATGTTTTCTCTCTCTCTCTCTCTCTCTCTCTAAAACAAAAAAAACAAAACATTTTCTCAGGTGAGGATTAAAAAAAAACAAATTAAAATTAAGTGTGTATTTAAGTCTGAACCAGTAAGTACAAAATGGCATTCTCTTTTCAGGTTCCCCTATGGTAGGGGAGCCTGAAGTTTTCCTCTGCTTCTTGAAAACTTAGTTGGTGAGAAGCCTGGGCAATCTCTAAGCCCAAATCCTGGGGAGAAATCCAGAGAAAGTGAAAAGCGTGCTCTTTTGTTGTGATTCTGGAGGTAACTTTGTGGATGATAGTATTAGACTCTCTAGGAGGGTAATGGGGGAGTTATGAACCACCATAGGCCATGAATCTGGTGGAAGTATGACCCTGGGCTCTTTTGTTGCCAGCAGTGTGGTCCTGGGCAAGTTACTTAACCTTTTTGAACTCTATAGTTTCCTCATTTGTAAGAAGGAGGTGATGATCACTTTGTATGGTTGTGAAAATTTACTGAGAATGAGTCTGATCTGAAATTGGCTGTCATGTGAGCCATTATTGACAGTGGTATTTTGTAGATAGGAGCAATATTCTTAGATTGTTTGCCCAGTAAGCAGTATCTTATATAAAAACAAAAGGAAAAGAAAAAAAATTTTTTTTTTTTTTAAGTCCATTATTCCTTTACTATTTTGAAAATAATCTTCTACAGTCATTGTTTGAACTTTGATTTTCATTTAGTTTATATTTGCCTATTTGTGTTTGGAAGTTGTAAACTCTGATTTCCAAGAAATTCTAAAGGATAAAGAAATAGACATAACATTTCTAGTTGAGTAACTAAGCAAGTAGTACTTACTTAGTCTTGGGTAGTGGGATCTGTATTTCTGTGAGTCAGGTGTCCCCCTTTGAGCATGTCAGAAGAGAGGTGGGGGATGGGGTGTTAATATTGCCTACTGGCATCCTGTAGGGGACATTTATTTATTTACTTTTTATTTTTTAATTTATTGATTTTAGGGAGAGAGAGAGAAGTATCAATTTGTTGAATGCATTCATTGGTTGGTTGTTTGTATGTGCCCTGACCAGGGACCGCAACCTCAGCGTATCAGGATAACACTCTAACCAACTAAGCTACCCAGCCAGGGCCTAATATTTTTTATTTGAAAATAATTTTTTTCATAAGTAAAGTGAGGTCTGAAGTATTGGCAGTATTCTGTGTTAGATTACCACAGTGTAGGCCACTTTATAGTAAAAGTCCAATTTTGATTCAGTTACAATTTACTTTGTCAGCACTTAGGATTGAATGATAGGAGTAAAGTGGTTGGCTTTTAAACTGAGAGAGAGAATTGGGTGAATATATTTCCATCACCAGTGTCCCAAGTTAGATCATTTTCAGCTATTTACTTTGAATGCTTGCTTTGTTTAGAAGGCCATGTAACTTGTCAATATAATTATGACAAATGGATTTCTGTGGGCCATATAAGAAAATACAGTTTACCCTTGAACAGTGTGGAGGTTAGGGGCATTGACCCTCTGCACAGTCAAAACTCTAATTGAAACTCTATCAATAACTTTATTATTGATTTTGAGAGAGAGAGAAACATCAAGTTCTACTTATTTATGCATTCTTTGATTGCTTTTTGTATGTGCCCTGACCAGGGATCGAACCTGCAACCTTGGTGTATCAGGCTGACACACTAACCAACTGAGCTACCCAGCTAGGGCTATGTATAACTTTTGACTCCCTAAATACTAAACTGATAGCCTACTGTTGACCAATAACATAAACATCAATTAACATATTTTGTATGTTACATTTATTAGGTACTGTATTATTACAATAAAGTAATGTCTTTGCTTTTTAAAAATAAGTTTGCAAGAGTAGGGTACCAGTTTAAAAATATATAAATAGAATTCTCTCTTTTCATTTTAGATGGAAATTATATGACAATATTTGGATAACATCTTCTTGAAAGATCTTCAAGGATTACAGGTATTTTTAATTTAAAAATTAACTTCTTCTAAAGGAAAAATACCATAGTTCAGATCAGTTGTGAATTGGTGGTTGTACCATATAAAATAGTTTGTTAAAAGTGAAATTGCAAATATTATGTTTACTGTCCTCTTATTAATGTGATTTTAAAAAATTGGGCATTTATAGTTAACATCAAACTTAGATTCACTGATCTTTTCTTTTATTAAAACATGGCTCTACAGTCTTCTAGACTGGTTCAGTGTATATGCATATTCAGTGTATATGCATTTTTAATCTTTGTTTTAATTATGTTGTGTGTTTTTTATTAGAGAGAGAGATTATCTACTTCAAATAGACTGTACATTTGTTTTTAATCCAGATTTGATTGTATAAATTATTATTATTTTTTAATTCTCACCAGAGGATATTTTTTTCACTGCTTTTCTGAGAGTGGGAGGGATGGAGGCGGGAGAGAGACACATCAATTGGCTGCCTCCTGTGCGTGCCCTGACCTGGGTTGGGGATCAGGCCTGCAACCAAGGTACATGCCCCTGGGCCTGGATTGAACCTGGGACCCTTTGGTCTGCAGGCCATCGCTCTAACCCCTGAGCCAAACCAGCTAGGGCTGGTTGTGTAAATTATTTACATACTATTCAATTCAAATGCTCTTGCATTTTAAGGCTCTGTTAGCTTTTACATTTATGTCAGTATTTGATACTGTTCTTTGCAAATGATCACTTGAAGTAGTACTTGTGCAGAGAAGTTAATGGGTATTTGCCAGAATCTTCTTTGAGTTAAAGTTGGTACTTGTGAGTATTTAGCTTTCTCAGCTAGAGCTCTGTTCATTTCTGTGTAATTGAGTAACATTTTGATCTGGGAGGATTTTTCAGTAGTTGCTTTCATTTGAACTCTTCGCCCTAAGTAGATTCTGCTTTTCCGTAGCCTTGATCCTGCTAGGACAGGAGAATGTCTACAATTTTCCTTCACTATTAGGTCAGTGTCTTTGCCTCTCAGTACCCCTTTTAAAGGATCAGTAAAACCCTTTAAGACTGAATCAGGCCCTTGCTGGTGTGGCTCGGTTGGGCTTCATCCAGTGCACTGAAAGGTTGACAGTTCGATTCCGGTCAGAGCACATGCCTGTGTTGCGGGCTTGATCAAGCCCGGTAGGGGGTGTGCAGGAGGTATCAGATTATCAGATCAATGATTTGTTCTCACATCAATGTTTCTTCTCTCTCTTTCTTAAAAAAAACACCAAAAAACCTAGGATCCAGGAGATCGAGATTTGATTCTGGGACAGGGGCACATTCCCGGGTTGTAGGCTCAATCCCCAGTAGGGGGCATGCAGGAGGCAGCCAATCAATGACTCATCGTTGATGTTTCTCTCCCTCTCTCCCTTCCTCTCTCTGAAATCAACAAAGATATGTTTTTTAAAATCTTAAAAAAAAAAAAAAAAAGACTGAGTCAGTTAACTTTGCTGACTAGAGAATGTTGAAGAGCTATGTGGCTTTTATTTTTTCTTTACTAACTATGCACCTGCTTTCCAGATATCTGAGAGCAGTGTCTGTGAAATAGTCATATTCTTTTCCTAGATATTTTACTGAGAACTGTGTCCCTATATCTGTACTGCCTGCGTCACCACTAAGTGGGGCATGATTAACAATAAGATTTTAAACTTTGCTAGTTCAGCCTTTAGGTTGCTTCCCCGTGGGCAGCTGTGGGGCTGTGCTTCTCAAAGACTCTGGCAGAAAGGACAAGTCCATGGGAATTTGACTCATTGACATAGAGCAGACAGCCTTACTCTTTCATGCTAGGCCTTTCCTGTGAAGTTACCATTGTCAGACACTTTAGCCCCTCCAGGAAAAGGTTTCCCTTTGATAAGTCTGGGCAGGAAGATGATGGTGAGGTAACCTGTATGAGACCCAGAGTTGGGAATAGGCCCTAGTGGGGGTAGGGCCAGGGATATGCCATTTTGATTCTTGAATGACTTCTGTTACAACTTCTCACAGTGAAAGTAGCTAACACCTGTTTTTTTCTTTTTCTTCCTTAGAAGACAAAAACACTAATGCATTTGAGAAAGTGGTAAAGTTTGGGGGGAGGGGAAAAAACCCTGCTTTCCTGATTTGCAACTTGGCTGGATGCTAAGATGTCTGTGGACATGAATAGCCAAGGGTCTGACAGTAATGAAGAGGACTATGACCCAAACTGTGAAGAAGAGGAAGAGGACGAGGACCCTGGGGACATTGAGGACTATTATGTGGGAGTAGCCAGCGATGTGGAGCAGCAGGGGGCTGATGCCTTTGATCCTGAGGAGTACCAGTTCACCTGCTTGACCTACAAGGAGTCCGAGGGTGCTCTCAATGAGCACATGACCAGCTTAGCCTCAGTCCTAAAGGTGAGCAGTGTTGTCAATTCCAAGTGTAATCCCCCCTAATTAAATCTAAATATGAGCTGTTGCTAACTACTGTTTCCTCCAGACTGATTGAATGGCCCTGTAGCTTGAAGCCAAATTTGAGTATATGTTGCATCATTTGGATACATTTGATGCATTTACTTTATTTTCTGATATATGGGTATCTAAGACCCTCAGATTCCCAAACTGCTAAGAATTAGGAGGGGTGGGGTGGATTCAGGAAAGATAGAACAGAAGTGTAAAGAAGCAGAATTGCATAAATTAACACTTGTTTAAGAAAGTGAGTCTTATGAAACTTTATTAGGTAAAATATGATAAGCATCATAATCACCATCTTCCACACAACCATGTGTGAGTGACTGATAAATGTCTTGAGAAGTACCCAGATCCCCTGTTTGCCCTAAATAATCAGTGCCTCTGGGCTGATGACCTCATTTGTTTCATATACTGGTGACTAATCTAATGTTGGAAGAAATCTTACAGCAATAACTGTAAGAATAAAGTAAGTTCTCATAGCTTTTATTTCACTGATTTGAGGGGGCTGTTAATACGGAAATTTTAAAGAATTAACAAAGTTGGTATTCTAGGAAGAATCTTATTTTTAACACTTAACTGGCTTACTTTCCTTTTTCTTTTCTTTTTTAATTTTTATTGATTTTTAGAGAGGGAGGAAGAGAGAGAGAGAGAGAAACATCGATGTAAGGGAGACATACCGATCCGTTGCCTCCCATATGCTTCCTTGCTGGGGACTGGAGCCCGCAGCCTAGATACGTACCTTGACTAGGAATGAACCTGTGCGTGGGACCATGCTCCAACCAACTGAGCCACCCAGCCAGGGTGCATAGTTTTCAATGCCTTTCACCTCAGGCCAGTTACTGTTCTTATTATGTACATTGTGTAGTATGTAATATTACACTAGTACATAGTATATTCACATACAACACTGTGTACTGTGAATATTTTTACAGTCACTTAGCCAGTTTCTCAGCATGTTTCTTTCTCCTCTATGTTGTCCATTATGTGAAACTGGGCACATTTTTATTATTTTACTGTTTTCACTCATCTTCCTTCAGGAACTATTGTATGGACTTTGTTGTTTGCTTGAAATTGAAGGTCAAGGGTATATTGGCTTGATTGCAATCAAATAATCATCTTGTTGGTATTTATGTGGAAATAACAACCATGTGCCGTATATGATTTCTATAATAGTTTACTAGTTTAGGGATTTTTTTTCCCGAGTGGTCAGCAAAGGCTAATATCTTGGATTTAGATACTCCGGGCTTTATTAGCAATTAGCTAGAAGCTGAATGCTAGAGCTTTTTTGTGACTTATTCCTAGAAGTGATTGCAGACTTTCTCTTTTGTGCTCAGCAGAAAACTCTGCACTCCTGGGTTTGGGATTTCTGTACCGTAGCTATAGCAAAGCTGCTGGAACCTCTGTTTCTAGAGGGCATTGCCCTAGTAGAAAAAAGGCATCAGGTTTCTTTCTACCTCTCCATGCATACCTCTCCCTGTCTGGTCAGCTAGCTGCTTTTGCTTTAAACATTGTCAGTTTATACACAGTATTGGTGTTTAAAATTAGAAAAGGAATTGTCAGGTGTGTGGCTATGCATGAGGCAGTATCAGTTGACTGAATTCATCGGAATCTTTCCATCTATGCATAGGAATTCTCAGATTGTCAAAGCCTTTGCTGACTTTCCTATTCTGCTAGAGACAGCTGAGGGGCCCAGGCACCTGTCTCTTCCATCTTTTTTTTGTGGTAAAATATATATAACGTAAAACTTGCCATTTTACAGCCTCCTTATTAGGCTGACATACGGTCAGCCCCCTGACAGGCCTTCTCTCCTGAGAAAGCCCTCCTCACCGTTTAGTACCCTCAGGGCTCCTTCAGAGTGTGGCTTTTGCTTTCCCTGAGCAAGCCTTCTTAACCCCTAGAAAACAGTGGTTGTCCCCTCTGTTGGTCTCAGTGCCCAGATGTTACAGCCCATATGTGTTAGATCATATACTGCAGTCTTCTGACTGCTTTGTGTTGTTTTACCTTTTACATGTATTTTTGCACACTCTCTCCCCCTAGATTGTTCTTGGAGGGTAGGAACTGCTTTATATATTATCTCCCCCATCATTCCTGTCAGTATTTCATCCATAGTAGGTATTAATAATTTCTTGGATACTTGTGGATTTTGTCAACTGTTGATGATAGTCATTGAAGATATTGGTGTGAGTTAGATTCCCTAGGGCCTGCTGTACATCCTCTCTACTGTCATGGAAGGGCAGTATTCTGGCCCTCAAGGTCATGAAAAGAAGGAACAAAAAGAACCTGGCATAGAGATGAAGGGATAAAAAGAGATGTGAGAAAGTTGAAACACAAGGAAAGAGTTTAAGAGAAAATGGGGCAAAAAGGAAAATAATCTGGAAGTTTAGATGATGCTAGAGGTTAGATTTTTCCCCCCCTTCCTAAACTTTACTGAGGAGCATGTTAAGACCATTTTCTTGCTGGGGCTGGGCCACAAGGGACTCAGTGATGTTCTAAGTGGTTTGGGGATTTGACAGAGAGGTCAGGCAGAAATCACATGTTTAATAATAAAGAAGATGCATGGATTTGAATTTATGTCACATCTGTCCCCCTGGGTCTCATAGTGCCCTATGCCAGAGCAAACTGTGGTCTTGAACCATTGCCTGGCCTCTGCCAGCAGGCACTGAAGTGGATTACACAGTGGGGAAAATAGATAAATGAAGGAATCCTCTTTCAGGCTGGCTAAAAACTAGCATTTTTATTTTTATTTTTATTTTTTATTTTTTTTAAATATATCTTTATTGATTTCAGAGAGAGGAAAGGAGAGGGAGAGAGAGAGAGACAGAAACATCAATGATGAGAGAGTCATTGATCGAGCCCACAACCTGGGCATGTGCCCTGACCGGGAATCGAACCCCGATCGCCTGGATACTAGGTCGACGCTCAACTGCTGAGCCACGCCCGGCCGGGCTTTATTTTTATAATTAAAATTTTTTGAGACAAGGGAATAATTGAAGTGCTGAGTTGACAAAATGGCGTTCACAGGTGCTTTGTCTACTATAGCTCCCTGTTGCATGTATGTCTGGATGGAGATCAGTAGTCGTCCCCAGATCACTACTGATTTTCCCATTGGTCATGAAGCTGTTTATACAACTCTGTCACATAATGAGATATTTCATTCTTATATGATTTAGGTGCTGTTTGGGCTAGTAGGAAATGTCATGTGTATGTCATTTAAAATTACAGTTTTGCGGAGAGCTGCCTATGATCAAAAGCTAAGTTTGAGGAGTGGCTTGAATTTTTCACTGTTACTCATGTCTGTGTTACTTGTTTTGTGTGTGCTGGCAGTTGCCTATGGATGAGCCATAGTCTAGTGTAAAGTTAAGCCTTTTATTGCCTTTTGGGATTTGATGTCTCTTAAGTAGAAAAACCCCAACTGTCTGAGACACTGAGCATTTGGTTTAGTGAGGGCCTCTCGTGTGAGAGGGTAACTTCCAATATGTGTTCTGGGACTGGTCCATGAGTAACATCATTAATTGAGAAAGGGAAGTGCCCAGAAAATCAGATCAAGGGCTGAGGATAGACAATAGACAAAATGCTTATCTCTTATTGGGGGGGCTGGGGGAGACACACACGCAACTACTATTGTTCAAATAATGGCAAAACAAGAAGCATTGTTTTGAGAATGAGCTATTATCATACACAAATGTAATAGTGAGAGATGTGATGATTGGCAAGTGAAGTATTGTGTTGTAGGAGGGGGGAAAATATCTGACAGATGTTTTTAGCAATCATATATGAGCTTTTAAAGAAAACAGTTACTTTTTTTACACACTATATTTATTTTTTTATGAAACTTATACAAAGATTATTTTATTGTTATAGATGAGAGAGGCCCTTTCTAGTAATAACAGGCATTTTTAATACAGTATGTTTAATACTTAGCCAAGAAGAATTTTGTCCTTCAGTGAATGCTATTAGTACTGTTCCATGAAACTCACGAAGCATTTGCTGTCAACCTGCTCAGGAAGGGGCTCATGATAGAGCCCAGACAGAGCTAGGCGACTTTCCTTGGTGATGCGCCAGAAGTGTCTACTGCATTGTGCACTCCTTCTCTCAGCAGCATGTTAGGGGTGTGGGCAGAAGAGGTGGAATGTTGTACTGGGCACCACCCAATTGCTTAAGAAGGGAGAAGAGATAGTTTACTTTGGGCTAGATCTAGTGTAGAGTGAGCTATCTGAGCTTTATATTGACAGGAAAACCTTGAAGGTGTGGTGGAAGGGCAGTTCAGGTAACAGAAGTCCAGACCCAGTGGTTTGATAAGCACGAGGGTAGGAAAGTTAATTTCTCTGCGGGGGTGGGAGACAGAGATGTACAGATAAAAGGGATAAAATATGGATTGTAAATGCAATCTGAAGTGTCTTTACTGTTGGAAGGAACAGATTTTTTAAACTTTCAGCACTGAACTATGCTGCTCACTTCTCAAGCCTAGGATTGGAGAAATAAGCTGGTTATTTTAAGTGTTTTTACTACAGTTCTTGCTCTTTGAATTGCTGTATTAAATGCAGTAGAGCTGGGGAAATGTTCCCTAGAACACGGTTCTGCCCCCGTCTTGCTCGAATTCGTTTTAGAATCTAGTGTTTGTTATTCAGCAAAATATGGCTGGAAAATGTCTTGAGATTCTTTTGTGGATTATTATTCCTCTTTGTGGATGAATCATAATGAGTTTATAGGGCTTCTGACTCTTAAGTACAGAAGTCTTTATAGTCCCAATTTCAAAACAACCTGGTTTCTATGCATTTGTCACTTGTATCAAGCAATTGGTGTTCTTGGTTTTTTGTTTGTTTTTTAATTGTTTTTAGAGAGAGGAAGGGAAAGAGAAATATCAATTTGTTGTTCCACTTATTTATGCAATCATTGGTTGAATCTTGTATGTGCCTTGACTGGGAATAAAACCTACCTTGGCATAT